TTTTTGTGTTAAGAAAAAGCCCTGATATCTTGGTGAAGATTTACTTGTGTGTTAGTTTTGTCTAATTTTAACTGTTTTAAGATATTTTCAACAGAAACAGACAAAATACTTGAAAATACTTGATAAGATTTTGTTTTTGCAGTGTAGAAAAAAACAACACATTTTCAGTTGTGCCTGAAAACGTAAAGTTTTTAAGATGACGTGATTCAAGCTGAGGGTTAAAAATGAAGCATGACATCAGCATTGTTGCCTCACGTCTAGAAGGTTCTCCCTGGTCATGCATTGGTTCTCAGGTATTGCAGCTTTTCAAAGCAAGTCAATGAGGAAACCAGCGTCATCATGACAATTAAGGCCTTAATTGGTCTAATCATCTCTAATTGCTTTTAGGTGTGAACTCAGAGTTCACCTTTAGCACTGAGATAAAATTCCTTTTATAGAAATGCATCAGACAGTGACGACTAATGGAATCAAGAAAGATTCTTAATAGGATACGTAAGAATACTGAAATATATTTAGTTTTACATGTCTGACATAACTGTGAGGTGGAGTAACAGCTAATAATAACCTTTGATGTCATCAGCAAAGCTATTAGTGTAAAAACACTAAAACCCACGCAGTAAAACGATGACTTCTGTGTCAAAGATGATCACATTCCATGTTTGACATTCAACTCCCTTCATTCTTTCACGCCATAATAAAAGAGGTGATGTTTGTTTTTTATTTATTGTGCCATAAAGAGATGGAGCTGCTGTTCTCACGGCACAGACTGAGAAAAAAACAGTAAGAAGAAAAACCTGAATTAAGACAAAAACATGAGAAACAGGCTGGAACATGAACTCTGGTCATTAATCTGTAATTAAATTTAACGTAGAATGAGATCTCACTCCTCATGTTTTTATCTACTCAGTGAGGAAATAACGTTTCTAAAATAAATCATTCGGTGCAGGCACTAAACAATTTGATGATTAATGATTTTCCCCTTTTAGTTTTATGCACAGTAAATGCTGTGTGGTGGGAACTAAAAGCAACTAAAACTAAATCTAAATAATGAAATGAAGAGAATAATTTGAAATGTGACGATTCTGTTTGTCTTTTAGTGTTTAAGATTTAGACCTTTTATAGTTACATTTAGTTCCATGAACATGAAGAAAATGTGTAAATTAATGTCGTCAGACTTTGAGGATGAAATCTTTACGTCAGTTTTTGATTTAGTGAATTAACACATTAACACTAAATTTAAGTTTTAAAATCTCCAGCCTCAAACCTTCTGCAGTGCTGCATAGAGCAATGATGCTTTCATGAACCAAAAGAAAAATCAGAGTTAAAAAGGAGGATTTTTTCCATTTGTTTTCTGTGTCCACATTAGAAACCTCAGTTTAAACACTCAAAACCACTGCAGGGTTAACAGATAAACCCAGAATGAGTCACATCTCTGCCAGATTTAGATTTAGAAAATGTAATTTAAACAAGAATTTTGACCAGGATTCTGGTCGGACCGCTACGAAACGTTAACTTTAAGTTAAATGGTTCCTTTAAAGCTAAATCAGTCTGAATAATCCTCAGGTCACAGAGATTCTCGTTTCACGTAAACTCCTCCGTTTATTCCCCTCCCTCCTTTCTGACACCTGAACACAGAGACGCAGGAGGATGTGAAATTTCTGAGTGTTTACTTGAAAACACACTGACCTTTGCGGTTTCTCCAGCGGCAGAGCAACATCAGCGCAATCAGCAACAAAATGCAGGCCACAACAGGAAGTAGTATGAGGGCGAGCGGAGCCGTAGGCGTTTGAGGCCTGCGCCCTTTAAAACACAAAGATAGCAGGTTAGCTGGCCTACATACAAACAATACGAGCATCTCGACACAAACGAGGGCGGCAGATAAAACCCACCGCTCTGAACGCCAGAAGAGAACACATCCTTTTTACTTTTATCGATGAAAAAATCTAATTTATTTCTCTTTAATCATATTTAATGATGCCGCTGGGGATTAATAATCTGGTAATTCAGCTTCTAAATGCAAAGTCATTTCAAGGATCTTTAAATCTTTAAAAAGCTGCATAGAATTTAATTTACTCAAAATTAAATTCATGTCAACTGGACTCAGTTGACATGAGCAGCCTAATTAAATCTACTAAAAATTATATTAAAGCAATTTATTCATTAGAATTAATCAATACATTTTAGAGAAAGAATAAGAAATGAAAAATGTACGTTCCCTAGAGACTGTAATTTAGCATATAATAATAAAACAGAGATTGTTTTTTGGCACTACTGTCATTCCATAAAACTGCAGGCATCATTTAAATAAAACATTTCTCACCTGTTACATCCAGCCAGGTTTCTGCTGATTCTCCCACTCCAGAGGCGTTACATTTATAAAATCCTTCATCAGATTTAGAAACGCTTCGGATGGTGAAGGTTCCCGTAGAGCTGTTCCCGACCAGAACCCCGTTTCTATAGAAACCAGTCAGATTGGAGAAAGACGGTGGCCTGAATCTGCAGTGAAGAGTCAGGTTTTCTCCTTCACTAACTGAGTGTGCAGGACTGTCCAGGATCAATGATCCATCTGAGAAACAAAATGTGGAAGAAAACGAGTTTTAAATGAGTCAGAAAAAAATTATGAGCATTTTTATCTCCTGCATACAGAAAGAAACATAACACAGACTGAGCTGTGTCAAAAAAAACTCTTAAAGTGTCATAAATCAGCAAAGGATTAATCAACAGAATAGAATAGAAAACTGTAGATTCACCCAAACATAAATATAATATAACACTAAGAACAACAATCTGTGCAGTTATTAAAAATAGCAAATTCTGTCGATTCAAAGGGATGTGCGAGTGAGTAGAATATTCTTTTGCAAAATGTATAAAACGCATTGAAAACAGGCTCATTAGTGACATTTAGTGACAATAAAACTGTGCAAATAGCAGCATGTATGTATGTAGATGCGTTTTCATTTTGGAAGGAAGGATCTTTGATAACGCTGCTTTGTGCACCTTGGATGCAGCTGTTTGTCACTGAAGGAGATCTGCAGTTCAGCAGCAACTTAATGAGATGCACTTCAGTTAGAAATGTGCACAAAACTGTAGATATTCAAGTAAGGTTAAAAAAAGAGAAATGCTTAATATTGCAGTTACGATATTTCCATTAAATAAAAAACGCAAGTAAAATCACACCTGCATAAGTTTGTTCACACAATAAATCATTAACAGAACCACGCCATCATAACCGTACCACTTCCTGTTTTCTTCTTCGTCTTTCCCACCAATAGGAACGTCTGGTTGTTTTTCCGTTGCAGCTTTACGAAATGTACGAATGTCGATACGGCCGAAAAACTGGATCAACATGGCGCAAAAACATTTTAAAAGAAAACTTGGTTTTCTTTTAAAATAAAAAAAATAAAAAAAGAAAACCCGGCACTTTTTTAAAGTGCCGGGTTTTATTAAGATAATTTTTCCAGAATTCTAATTTCCACAATTATATCTAAGTTTCTGCTTTACAGCTTCAGGATTTTACTCTCTGTAAACACTTTTCAGATATTTCAGCTGTCGATATTGCCCTGGTTCCAGGAGAATCATCTGAACTCGTCTGAAAGCATCAAATCAGATCTGAACTCTACTGATTTTTTATCATGAGATAAATGTGGCTGTAATCTGAGACTGAGAGATGTTTGAGATACCAAACCTCAAACTGAAGCTTTTTGTGTGAATTTATCTGCGTCCTGTTTAGAGGACTTTTCTCTCTTCCAGACCACAACCAGGTCAGCCTGAACCAGTTAGAGCAAACAATTAAACCAGATCAGCCTGTGCTGGTTCTAACCCACCTTTTACGCTGATGTTGACTGAATCGCTGCGTTCGCCTGCTGCAGATTCACACCAGTAAACTCCAGAGTCGGCTTCATACAGCTCACTGAAGATGCATTCAGTTTCATGTGTGTGATTTGAATATGAGGGACAGAGTCCATTTATTTGTTTTGATGTATTTCTCCTGACTCTCCACTCAGACGAGTTTCCTTCACAGCTCAGAGAAACAGATTCATACTGGAAGAACTGGGATCTGCTGGGGAAGAGCCTCAGACAAGCTGCAAAGAGGAGAAAAACCTTCAGAGAGGAAAAGTTTTCAAAATGTTTCTGATCGATTCAGAAACAGAAAAACAACAAAATCCTGCCGTTTTATTTTCTCTGCTGACTTTTTAAACGATGAATCATTTTTTAGATAGAACGGTGATTCACATTCATGACAGTCGACTACTGAAGCCGAGTTGATGCAGCTGATGTAACCGATTTGACCCGATGCAACACTAGTGATCAAAGAGAAAAACCAAAGCAGGAAACTCTCTGATCTTCATGTTTCCCATGAATAAAGTTATCATTTAGCTGAAGATGTTTCCCATTTAAGTTTCATTTTGTTTCAGTGGCAGCAAATAAGTCAGATCTTAACATCAGAGAAACATTTTCTGGAATTACTTCTGGTTAAAAACTAAAATTAAAATCTAAAAAGTGAGTTTTAGAATCAATGAACCAGAAGATGAATCAGAAATAAGAGACTTTAAACTACATTAAAAATGTTTTTTACTCACCAACGACAGCGCAGAGAGCTGCTACCTCCATCCTGAGCCGCTGCACTGAGGCGCCTCGCCATCGGGGGGTTTCATCATCACACCTCTGATGATTGTGTCAAAGACGCCACAGCTTCCTGCTAACGCGATCGTCTCCAGGTTCGAACCTGAGAACATGTTGTTTGTGCAAGAGCTGTGAAAAAAGAAGAGAGAAACCCAGAGAAGTTCAGAAAAGGTCAAATGTTTTGGTCCACCAGCGTCTGCAGGAGAGAGTGAAGGTCACTGTAACCTCTGATGCAATTTACAGCCAAGTGTGATTTCAGCTTGAGGTGAACAAACTTCCTCTAGAGGCGGCGCTGACCCAAACATTTAAACTAAAAACTGCTTTACAGGTTAAATATGATGTGAAATTTTACCTCTGATCTTCAATTTCATGATTTTAAACAAAATCAATTAGAAAACATTTTCAGTTATTAATTTCTACGCAGAATTTAGCTTTTATTTCTCAAAGCCTTAACAGATCGAGGGCGGATCCAGATGTGCTGCACAGCGGTCTGCTGAACTTTGACTGGACCCGACTACTAACCAGCAGAACATCAAGCTGACTCTGTTCCAGACAATAAATGATGATGTAATATGAAAGTTAATTCACTGCTGTAATTAAATACAAATGGAAATTTATGTACAACTTTTAACTCTGCTGAGGATTTGAGGAAAGCATTAAATTATTTATAAAACCACATTAACTGGAGCAGAAGGGTGGAAAACATCAAGAAACATGAAACTATTAAGACAAGAAATGAAATACCAAAGCAGAAGAAATGGTACATTTTGGATCATCAAAATAAAATACTTTTTTTCCTAATTTTAAGCCAAGAAATATAAATCAACCAAGTTTTATGTCAAATCAGATCAGTGAACAGCGTAAAGGTTTAGATCCGATGTTTGAGTGTAAATAGATCTGTAGCTCATCATGACGTTTGGTTCCCAGCAGCAAAGCTTACAATTAATACAGAACAGGCCCAGGATTGACCTTCGACCTTTAATAACTTTTACAAGAGATCTGGATAGAGGTAATATTATAAAAGGGTAAAGACTTTAAAGACCAAACAGGTGAAATGTTTTGACATAGAAATAAAAAAAATTTAAAGATTATCTGCATAGTTATTGTCATTTTGCCAACATCAATAGTTTTCATAATTCTAATTGACCTCAAGCAGTAAATATTTAAGTTAATATAAAAAAGTGAAGAAAGAAAAACTAAAAAGTTCAAGAGTGTTGGTTGATAAACTTGCTGGAGTTTTGGTTTGTCCTGCAATGCTAACCGGTTAGCAAAAAGTACAAAGTTATTCTCATGTTTGCTAACATTGGGCCGAGCCATGGGATGAAACACAGACTGAATAAAACAGCAATGATCTGTTAACTTTAATATTAATGGTATTAATCTGTTTTACTGTTGTTACAGCTGGAATCACTGACATCATAGCTGAAACCAGCTCCTGTTTTCCTGCTGCTCTCCACAGGCTGCGGTTAGCAGCAGCAGCAGGTGAACATCTTGACCTGGATGAGTAAAAGAGTGAATCTTTGGAGAAACTCTGTCTCCATGGTAACGTTTGCTCTGCTGTTTGTGGATCTGGTGGCTGCATCCATCCATAAGGCTAACGGCCTGAAACCAGCTGCCTGAGCTCCTGCAGATACCATCTGAGTTAAAGGCTCTGGAGGAGGCGAGGGGCTGACTGATCATGAAGTGGTTTTCCTTCTGCTGTCTTGAGGGGCGCAGCGTTGAAACCACAGCTCTGTGTCTGACACGTGCGCCTGTCCAACCAGATGCTTAAACCAGATACCAGAGTGTGTGACTGAATTAGGCCACCGGGCCTAAATTCTGCTAAATTTGTTTTAGGTTTTACTTTAAAGTTGTGACAAACTTCGTTTTCAATCAGTGGTTTCAAAGTGATGGCTCAGTAATGTGAGCTTGTTCTTTCCTAGCTTTAAAACTAGCATGGCCTCAATACCAACTCTCAAAACAAACCTTGGTTTCTTTGTTTTTATTATTTATTTTCATGGTTTGTTAGTTTTTATTATTCTCCTCCCTACTTTTCAGTAGCTTAGTTTTTGTTTGCCTGGTTAAAGGGTTTGCTCATAAATTCTCATATATTGGAGAGAAACTGTTCTTCATACGTCTGCAGGTGACTTATTAGACAAACATGGCGAAAACACGTGGAGACTTTCACTTCCTTAGAAACTCCAGGGAATCCCCTGACGTCACTGACTGGGAGATACCATGACTACCAGGGAGTGGCTTGGTTTCCCCGGAAACATCAGATAAACATTATCACTCTTATCTCTCAGTATCACTCTGTCGCTCTCTGCCTCCATATTTGTTTTCCCTGTTTATGTCTGGATTAGCCACTAAAACATCAACATTCACCATGATTCTGTCTGACATGATCTGGTTTTTGCACTTTAAGTGACATTTAAATCACGATAACGACATTTAAATCGCCTTCACGAGAAGCAGAGTAAAACTTTACATTCTTAAAGTCACAATAAACAAATAAAAACAGCTCAGGTCTGTTAATTAAAATGATCAAACTTTAAGTTGATAAAACTTTCCTCCTGAATCTGTCTGGGAGCCCCGAACAATATTCTAGAAACAATTGATCTTACCTTTCCTTCACGCTTTAAAACAAAAACCACAGATAAGGAAGTTGGTCTCTCCCAGCAGGCAACAGGGAAACGCCTCTGTGACGTCACTCTGTTTTGATTGGCTGAAAACAATCAAAACTTAAGTTTTGGTTATGGTTTCCATTCTAAAAAAAATTAGTAATGTGTTTTGTTTCTTCGTTTCGTTGCTTTGGGGTTTTTTCTTGTTTTCCCCCCAAATCTCTATTAAAGTTTTAAAAGACATTTATGAAGAATCTCTAAAGGGAATAGAGAAAAAAAAAACATCCGACAAAAATATAAAACCAAAAGAACAAAAGAGGGAAGAAAGACACAAATAGAAAATAAATACATCTTCCAACAATGTAGAAGCAATTCAACCATTAAAAAGTAGGAAACTAAATCTAAAATGAACAATTCAGTTACCTAAGATAAATAAAATTCACATCTTCATAATCCTAACGTTATCTTCTTTTCATATTTGTTATGTAAACATGCAACATCATGTAATAAATTAACTGGACACAATTGAACTTTGCTATTAGTAACAACCTGCTAAAAAAATATTAAACTCTTAAATGTTGTTTACTTACAGTCAGCTGTACAGCAGAAAAGCTTCATTAAGCAGCGTCAACAACCTGAAGGTAATGAAAACTCCGTTTAGCTCTCCTGTCTGGTGTTGCTACATCAGGAAGGACCGGAATATCGAGGCTGTGATTGGCAGCCTGGCCAGCCAATGGCGGTCCAGCCTTCATATTTGTGTTTGTGATCATATTTTGTCTTCATGGCTTCTTTGTTCTCCAGTCCAGCTGCGTTACATCAGCTTATAACGGACTAAATGGTTCATTGTTGTATCTGTCCATCTTACTTTGTGAAGGTGAAACTTTCCAAGAAACAGAAGAAGTTGGATGAAAGATGGCTTCTTTATCCATGTCCTTACCCATAATAGAGAAAATAATATCTTAGTCAATGAATGAATTGTTTAATATTTCAAAACTAAAACCTTCCAGGCCTCCATACTATACCAGTGTTAAGAAGAGGCAGGGAACAGGACAGGTAAGCAGTCTGTTCATTTAATTGGGAAAGCTGAACTTTACTAATTTAAATATACTTATTTCAGCTCTATTCTAGTAAACCAGTATTTATCTTGCCTTCACAAATCAATTGTTAGTGTTTAATGCGACATTTAAATTGATTGATAAGATGTTTTAATAAATATTATTGGCTTTCATTTTTCATTTTACCTGGTTGTTTAAGCAGATATGAATTCAATTTGTTATAAGGTTTTAAATATTTATGTGAATAAAATGAAACCAGGATTCCTGGTATTGCTAATTATTCACGTGAAAATAATAAATCCTTGAGCAGAGGGCCTAGTTGAAGGATGTGATTATAAAATTAGGACAGATGGATTGTTTGCCTTATTAATTCTGTGTGAGAGGTCTGACGCACTTTGTGATGAATCTTGTCTGGAAAACAGAATAAAACAGAGAAAACCAACAAAAGTGATTTTGCACACAGATTAATTTATTCTGGAAGCGATTATTTCTTTTTAAATGGATTCAATAATATTTAGTCTCCAAGGTGCGTCATCCCTACATTTTTCCATGACGTAAGAGACGTAGCTCCACCTCTAAACTCAAATATAACCCACAATCGGTCCCGTCGCAGTTCAGGACACGGACCGTACAGAAGAGGCGGTGACAACATTTCTGTTGTAATGTCAGAAGCAGCTGGTCTCTGTGAGATTTTCTTCAGCCGTTCAGGATTTTGGACTTTTATCTTCTTCTTGGTTTTGTTCTGGACGCCTGTTAAAGGTAAAAGCGCTGCTGCTTTTCTCCTCAACTTACGTTAAACTGTTACTAAGCAACCAGGAAGCGTTTTCATTCAAAGTATGAATGAGACAGCTGGTGAACTCATTCATTGTTTCTTGAACGATGAATGACTCCGCTGTTTTTAGACGTTTTGGCCGTTTCTGTTTTATTCTTAAGTAACTTATTTGTGTCTTTGTTTTCCTCTGACCTCATTCTGCTGTTTGTAATTATATTATTAGACATAAAACAAACGTACATTGTTCGTCGACGGTCATTCACTGATACTTCCTGGGACAATTCAAATTGTTTCACATTGGTTGACTAAAATAGTCTTCAAATCTGAATCTAAATTCATAAACTTTGTTAAAGAGATTAAAAAGAATAAATAATAATAATGAATAGCTGTACATTGATAATAAAACGTATCCACCGGTTGTCCGATAATAATTATTATTTTATTTGTAAGTGATGCTTCCCAGTAAATGTTTACTCTTGATATTCATCACACGGTGAGTCAGCAAATGCCCACAATAATAACTAATTAACTCACATGACCGAAATGTGACATTAATCAGCAATAATGGATGGATATGATGCTTAGTCATGATGAAAAGGGGGCGTGACATCATGTCAATTTTGGTAGAATTAAAATGCAATTTTTACCAGAACGTCTTAAAATTGTGAGAAGTCTTGTTGGAGTTCTAATAAAATTTTGCCATTTTATTTTGGTAATATTAAGACTTCATTTTTTTATTTCGACTTTATTGTCATGTGACTTTATTCTCGTATTATGACAACTGTATTAATACTGTGGGGTTTTTTTTACATTATGGCTTCTTCAGATTTACTGTAATATAGACTGCAACAAGAGATCTTTCCTTCCAGGATCCATCACAATCTTCAGAAACTCCTTCAAGAATTTGAATTAATTATTTACAACATTTAGTTTTCCCTAGGGATCAATAAAGTGTTTTTTAATTATTTCTTCATTCTTGTAAAAAGAAGAAAAAAGCCATATAACAGTTCTGGGTGTGCTGATGTCACACTGAACATGGAAACGTTTGGAGTGAGTTGGTGGGAGAAAAAAAATCCAGATTTTACAAAAATTTAAATGTCTAAATCACTTTCTAAATTGATAAAATGTGTAGAAAACTTGGAATTTTGGCTCAGGAAACGTATCCGAATTTAAAGCGAAGCTCTAGAGGGGAGGCTAATGGAGAACAAAGTTAATATCAACCTCCTGATTTGAATGATAAAATAGTTAAAATCATCAGTTGTTGATTCAGGTGAGAGCAAATAGAGCTTAACGATTCCTGACATCCCCGATAGCGATCACAGTAATATTTTCTTTTTTCCACTTGTTTGCTTTTGTTTGAGTAAAATGATAAATGTGACATTCTGGCAGATTTCCCAAACAGCTGCTTATGTTACAAACTTCCGGAGGAAACCTGGTGGAAACCCAACCCTCCACAGATGGATTGGGTTTCTGTCTGTGGGGTTTTCCCCTCTTGGGGAAGTTTGTCACCCAAAACACTGAGAAGTTTCAGGTTTTTACTTTAGTTTTATGATCATATTTATGAAACCTAATAAAATCTTCCCTGTGCTTCCAGGTGGCCTCCAACTGATTGGTTCCTCTCAGCCAATCGTAGCTGCTCCTGGAGATGACGTCATCCTCCCGTGTCGGGTGGATCCTGAGTGGGACGCCGTGGGGAAGACGGTGGAGTGGTCCCGACCGGACCTGAGGCCGACCGGCCCTCAGAAGCGTGTGGAGTACGTGTTCGTGTACCGCTTCAGGAAGACGGACCGAGACATGATGATGGACACGTACATCCAGAGGACGTCTCTGTCCCAGGACGGCCTGAGGCGAGGAGACGTGTCTCTGACCATCAGGAACGTCAGCCTGCAGGACCAGGGCAGGTTCCGATGCTTCATCCCACGCCTCGGGATAGAAGCAGAACTTCTGCTTGTTGTTGGTGAGGAACGGGTCCAAACTGCAGGTTCTGATCCGAATCTGTTGGACTTTTTCTCATCAGTCCTGTTATTGTTGCTGTTTCAGATCCAAACTTTGTTTCAACGACGACAACAGAGATGGTTCGTCACAGAAACCTCATCACTCCAACGCCACAGGAGGAAACCAGCAGGAACGGTGAGTCTGCAGGTCCAAACTCTGATTCTTTGGGTTCTGATAAGTTTTACTTTGTTTTGAGGTTTTTTGACATTTTTCTTCTTTTATTTCAGGTCATCGGTCCAGGATGTTTCTTTTAATCCCCATCATTCTCTTCATCATTTCTATGAGTTTACTTTTCATCTTAGTCATCTTCAGCTTAAAAAAATGCTCCACAATCACAAAGTAAGTCAGAAATAATTAAAATAAATCAGCGCTTCTTTCTTATAATCACCATCAGATGATTAATAAAAACTAATAAATCTGTTACAGATTTCAGCAGAACCTCCTAAGTCGGGCCTCTGCCTCTCAGTTTGGATGCTTTGGTCCAGAGCAGAGCTGTGATGATGTGGACCAGAAATCCAGCCAAACTCTCATTGATATTCCTGATCAACCGCAGCATCATGGAAACTGCGGAGGCTGAGCGAGTTGAGTTGATCAGTCTGAGGCGTATCGATGAAACCTGGTGAGTCTGACTCATCACTGGTCAGATGATGAGGTCATATGATGGTAGAGGAAGCAGGTGATGCTCTAATGATGATCTTTGTTTGACTCTGGACTTTTTCTGTTCTCCTGAAGGTTCTTCATTAAGCAGCTCACAGACTCTGTAGGAATCCCACAGACTTTCAGATAAACATGAGAAATGATCTGGATTTTATCCATCCATCTTTTTTCTTACACCCTTCCCATTGGGGCCAGCAGTGGCGCTGATGCCCAGCTCCAGCTGCCAGTGGGTGAGAGACGGGGTCACCCTGGACAGGTCTCCTGTCCATCACAGGGACTTTTCTCCAGGAAGTAAAAAAATCTGTGATTTCACACCAGAAGAGAAGCTCGTCTTTGTACTGTGAACTGAAGCTCATTTTCTAAGGCTGTTTTTAATTTATTTTGCTTTATTTCTGTTTAATGTCACCATGTATGATCTGGTATCATCAGTTTGTGTTTAATTTATTTTGGATCCAGCTGTCTAAGCACATGTTGCATATTTTAAAGATGAACCTTAAATGTTTGTTAAATGAGACCTGCAGAGCAGATCAGGCTGTGAAATGTTAGGAAATATTTTAAATGTATGAGGAGAAAAGTGTGATGTAGAACATTTTTTCATTAATGCAGTGACACGTTATTTGCACTTATTTTGTCATGTATTTTCATGTCTGCTCTAAACACTAAAACAAGTAACCTCAATGTGAAAAGATAAAAGTCTGAGTTGTTTTCCTTGTTGACCTGCTGTGGTTACATGATGGACTGTAATTTATTTTCATGTCTTTCCTGGAGAAGAAACGTTTTTAGAGAAATGCTGTGGGGATTTTAATCCCCCTGGATTACATGGTTTTTTTAAAAATATAACTTATTTTACTACTTGAAGCACTTAGATATTAGATTATTCTCAGTATTGGCTGAAAATAAACCTCATCAAGTTAATAAATTAAACATAAAGCCATAAATGTTTCCGATTTGAATATATATATATATTTTTTTACTGCTGAATATTTTTACAATAAAGTGAACTCTGAAGTACTGCATTTCAGGTTTCTTTAAATATATTTGTTTCCTCTGTCTGCTGCTGTTCTGAATTGGACCCTCTGTTCAATGACTTTAAATGGAGGTGACCTCTGACCTCTGATCGGAGCATAAACATGTTTCCTTCCTGTGATCCAAACATTGTTGTCCATGAAAGATTTCATGATCAACAGTTTTCATGGCTTTCTGAAGGTTCCTCTTGGATTTAGTTCTGGACTTTAACTAGGCCGTCCAAACTGAGACTGAGGTAAACAAACAAGAACCTTTTCTGTTGGTTTATGTTTATAACGTGACAAAGTGAAAAGATTTAAGGGGTGTGAATACTTTTGCAATGCAACGTTGACCTGAATCACCTTTGCTTCTTTTTCCTTTGAAATCCACTGAATCTAAATGTTTTATCTGGAAACTTCACTGTAGTTTTAAATTCCTGGTGAACTTTGAACCCTTCCACTGTCGGCAGGTCGAAACGGATCCCAACGGATCAGATAGCTGCCGGGAATCACCTGAGTCAACAGCCTGATCATGTTCAAGTTGGGTTTCAGCTTCTTATCTCCAGATTTAAACAGCGTCTTCTTTTACTTTCTGGTTCTGAAATAAAACCCAAAGGGGGAATCCAGTCAAAGGGGAAAATCTTAGTAGTTTCTATAAAAACAAAAATAGAAAATTAAAACCCTATCAGCGTCGTTATGACAAGTTATAACCAGTAATAACAAAACAATTGGCTGTAAATTCCCAAAACACCCTTTGGGGTGAAATCTTCATACCAAGTCATTTTAATAAATAAGTCATTGTCTGAGTATTATTAGGATTTAATGAGCTGTCAGAACTTATTCTGTAATCTTTGATCAACTTTCACTCTAAGGCTGTTGAGAAATCTGAATAATTGATTTTCTCGTAAAACTGAGTAAATTTTAACATCCAGACATTTTAATAGTATTGAGGTAATGAATGTTATCACATTTATAGTGTCAGTTTCACATTACGTATCCAGAATCCCCCTGAATTTCTAGATCACTTTTCAAAACAAATGAACGATTAAACACTTGCATCATCAGTAGTTTTACTTTCTCTGTTTATTTTTTTATACCTTCAGAATCTCCCTGGATTTCTTACAGGAACCATAAACAAACCGTAAAGGTAGGATTATTAATAACATCATAAACATGGCACTGATTTATTGTTCTCCTCATTTGTAAGTTTTGTTTGAAATCCACCGATTTGTTTTAATATAGACTTTAGCTGCTTTGTTTGAAGCAAATTCTATTTAAATGTCAGATTGCAGCAGCTTTTGCTGCCACCTAGTGAACTTTCTGTTTCACTCCTGCTGCAGTTATACATCGTCTCCATTCCCTTCACTTTCCTTTTCACCAAATTTAACTTAGCCATCCAGGATTAGACTTGGCTGCATTTTGTTACCACACACACGCACACACACACACACACCCACACGCACACACGCACACACACACACACACACACACACACACACACATGTTTGCGTGGCTATCTTTGTCGGGACTTTCCATTGACTTCCATTTATTTCTACAGTCTAAACTTTACCCTTATCCTTAGCATTACTAGTATATTCCCAACCCTAAACTTTGTGAAAAACAAATCCAAACCTTATTTCTAAACCCAAACAAGAGGTTCCACCATATTATGATCAGGCTTTGGTCCCAATAACACCCATAGGCCTTCAGAATGTCAGTAAATATGCCAGAAAAGGCCTATATTTTGTATTTAGGCCTTTTTGTGGCATATTTACTGACATTTTGAAGACCTCTATCAGTTTGAATATGCCACAAATAATATCATCTTACAAGTGAAACATTCTGGATAAACAAACCCATCCCAAGATACATTTCCCTGAATGCAGCTCAGCCTGTGACACAAGTATCCGCCATGTGGCTGATTAACACGGAGAGTCAGAAACGCAAACCTTCATGGTGAAAAGCAGACCTCTGATGAAAACAGACACAATAGCTCTTCTGCAGCTGGTGATATTCGGTGGCGGCTGAATCATGCTGTCCGGAAAACGCCACAATGAGATGACATCATGAGGAAAGAGCATTGTGTGGAAGAACTGAAGACATCCAGACATCAGCCAAGAAGTTACAGAGGATTAGTAACTGAATAAGAAAACAAGGCCCAGTCTGTCACAACACTTTGCACAATTAGCACAAAACCTCAGCCAAAGCTCTGAAAACACGTCGTCTCATTTGGTCTGAGTCAATTTTATTTCTATTGTACTTTTTGACAAGGCAGTTCCAAGAGCTTTACATCATTATAACATCATAGAGTCGACGAATATGAAACAAGCAATAAGCTGAATGTTCCTGTGAAGGAGCCTCGTAGTTACAGGTTCCCCCAGAGCGCAGACTGCCGCCCCACCGAGCAGCACATACCCATTTCAGAGCTGAGAAACAGCTTTACCACTGCTGAGCCACCTCATTTTTAATTATGCCAGAAATATGCTGATGGTCTGGGATGAGGAGGAGATTCTGGCTGCAGCTGTTTAGACAGGAAACAAACGATCCCAGTCTGTTTACGGCAACAAACTGCAAGCAGTTAGCCGCCGAAGCTAATGACTGCAACATTAAAGTCGCTAACTGAAAGGCTGTTCTGTTCTCCGCAATTCCATTTGATATACTGTCTGGGGTGTAATAATAGCTTAGGGTGATCATTTTAAGTGTTTTGTGTGTTTAAGTTTAATTTGTTTTGTTAATAAACTCTTGTAGCATTTTGCTGTTCGGGTAACACCAGTGCTGAACTTGTGCCTTCTTCTATTATTTTAAAACCAAGGCCTCATCAGGCAGGTAGAAATAATAACAGACTGAACTAACCAAGCGGTGTGGCAATTTAGCAATTTTGATCTGAGTTACTATTTTGGTTAAAGTAATTATGTCAAATATTATTAGATAACTCTAGACTTCAACAGCACAGCAGGAATGAGGTCCAGACCCAGTTTAAGTTTCTTGGGTTCTTTTTCACAGATGATGAAAAAACAGAGCAGGAGATCAATATGTGGATTGGAGCAACATTAGCAGGGATCTACTGGTCTGTCTTAGTGAAGAAACGTAACGTTAAATCGCAGTTTTTACCTCCATCTATGGTCAAACAGATGTTTTGGAAAGAACAAGTTCATGAACATTTGGCTCCAAACAGCCAGTTCACAACGCAAAGCACAAATGAAGACGAATCATTATTCTGAGAAAGTAACGTTTCATTAGATAATTTCATGAATTAGAAATCAATGATCTTAAGTGAAACTGATTCTTTATCTTCTGACAATAATGGTATCACCATTTTGGAATAACAATATCGTGGTGTAAAACGACATATGTAAGCTAGTTTGGGATGTAGTAATGTATTTTAAGTCTGATATCTACTGTAACTACCTTAAATAACAATGCTATTTATTTATGAGCACCAGTGGTTTGCTAAGGCTGACCACAGAATGGTAAATAGACTGAACATATATGGGGCTTTTCCAATAATTTTGGCCACTCAAAGCGCTTTAAAGTCACATTCACCCCCAAACACATTTATACACCGATCAGTAGGCAGAGTGGGGTTCAGTGCCTTGCCCAGGGGCACATCAACATGTGACAGGAGGAAGCTGAAATCAAACCTACAACCTTCCAGTTACAAGACGACGACTCAAATGGACAGAGGGATCTATTTTTAGCATCAATGGTTATCGTAGTTTAGCACAAGCATCAGTTATTTAATTAGCTGATATTTTATTGGCTAAATCACACATACAGTAAGTCAAAGTTATTTTTTGTCAGTGAATGAAATCAAGCATCTAAAACAACCAAAAACAACTAAAAAGTTAAACCTGTTCTCTTTGTTCGGTTAAGTAACTGAATCATTATCTGATTTCTGTTGTAACCCTCAGTAATTCTCCACATCCTGGAAAAACAAGCAGGCTGAGGCACGTCTAAGATAAACCTCACAGCTCTTCCTGGGAACTGAGGTGTGACGTTTCTCCTATGCTGTATCCTGTCAACACGTCTCTGTTCCCTCCTCCTCAGCACTTGAAAGTCATACAGTCGTTGTTACTGGGAGCTAAAATGGAGCACAGGGGACTTCAGTTAAACCAAAGTAACTTCTCCTGTTCGATCTGTTTGGATCTACTGAAGGATCCGGTGACTATTCCCTGTGGACACAGCTACTGTATGGACTGTATTAAATGCTACTGGGATGGAAAAGATCAGAGGAAAATCCACAGCTGCCCTCAGTGCAGGAAAGAGTTCATACCGAGGCCTGCTCTGGAGAAAAGCATCATGTTAGCTGCTTTAGTGGAGGATCTGAAGAAGACTGGACTCCAAGCTGACCACTGCGCTAGTAAAGATGACAGAATGAAGATCTACTGTCGTATGGAGGAACATAAAGGCCATGAAACAGTCCCAGCTGCAGCAGAAAGAGCTGAGAAAAAGAAGGAGCTCCAGGAGAGTCGACAACAAATCCATCAGAGAATCCAGGACCAGGAGAAAGATGTGAAGCTGCTTCAGCAGGAGGTGGAGGCCATCAATCGCTCTGCTGATAAAACAGTTAAGGACAGTGAGAAGATCTTCACCCAGCTGATCCGTCTCCTCCAGAAAAGAAGCTCTGAGGTGAAGCAGCAGATCAGATCCCAGCAGAAAACTGAAGTGAGTCGAGTCAAAGATGTTCAGGAGAAGCTGGAGCAGGAGATCACTGAGCTGAAGAGGAAAGACGCTGAGCTGGAGCAGCTCTCACACACAGAGGATCACACCCAGTTTCTCCTCAACTACCCCTCACTGCCAGCACTCAGGGAGTCGACACACTCATCCAGCATCAACATCCGTCCTCTGAGACACTTTGAGGACGTGACAGCAGCTGTGACAGAGCTGAAAGAAATTGTGCTGGACGTCCTGAGAGACACATGGACAAACA